TTTGTACATTTGAGATGGAATTGGTTTTCGGAAATAAAATAGGGATGAAGATTAGTGGTATGATGAATGAAGAAAGAGAGAGGGTTAGGATTAGGCTTAGTGACTTGATCAGTTAGCATGAATGATACCGTTATTACTTGCAGTTAGACAATGTGTTGTGACCAGAGTGACCTCTTTTCAATATTCTCTTAGAGAATGCCTTAGAATGATTTGTTCTTGTTCAGTATCATATCAAATAACCCTTTTGGCATTTTCGCAGGCACTGCAAGAGTGTTATTTTGTTTGGAGAATATGAAACATGGGATGGTTAAAATACATCTCATTTAGTAGGGTCATTGGTCGACATGAATAAAATTGAATTGAATGACTGTTATCGATGATGCAGTCAACGTTTTTGAAGTACATTCACCTGAGGGAGTACTGAATGATAGTAATAGCAACCGAACCAATCGTAAATCATAATGATAACAATGAACAAAGACAATGATAAATGAGAGTAATAATGATAAGAATGAATGAACTTCATTAAAAAATCGATGGTGGATGATAATGATTTGATAAGATTGATAAATTATTGAATAAAGTTTAGAGCTGATGAGAAATGTTGATAGTAGTAATAGTAATATGAACAGTACATAATGATAGTATGATCGGTATTTAGTTAGGAAGAATGCTTTAATTGAAGAGGAATTACCATACATTGTATTAAGGGGTTCTTCCGTCGAACAGTGCAGAAGAATATGGAGTATTCGTGTCATAAAGAAAAATCGTGCAAAGTGGATCGAATCTCGCGAAACAGATGTCAAAGTTGTCGATTCGAGAAGTGTTTAAAGGCCGGCATGAGCAAGGAGTCGGTGAGACAAGACAGAAATCGCAAGCGAAAGGCAAAGGACGAGACGAAGTTCGTTCAGTTTATTAACGAATCAAATTATGAGTGCTTTCACGAGCGATTGAAATTTATTTACGCTCAAATATATATGACACGAATGCAGTGAAACTGATTTACATGATTCGTTATCTGTAAGCGTGATATTTTATAATGATTTGTTCATTCTGAACGAGAACCACCCTGCTCTGTTTTAAATCGCTAAAATGATGCTACCAAATAAGATTAAAAAAACAGTTTCTGAGACCAACAACTTTTTAGTAAATTTTCAGAATACTGAAATGTAAATGGAAGGAATTTTCAGAGAGAAAGAGTTGGATGAAACAAGGAATATAATGGATTTACTGAAGGCGATCGTGCAGTCGGCCAAGAAAGCGTTTCCACTGGGAATTGAATTGCAAGACACCAACGACGCAGTGTCTAGAGCTAATACTTTTGTTGACGGTATTCCGGCATTCGAGAGGATTAACAAACGCGATATGCAGAAATTAATTTCGAACGGGTTGAAGGGTCTTTTGGTAAGTAGCGATGATTATCTTGTCTCGCTTAGATGGATATAATTTCAATGAGATGATTTGATGACTTATTGAAATTTCGTTTTGTTGATGAAACATTGTTAAGACACTTTAAAGTAGCGATATTTAGACGATGTTTGAGATATTTATGATCGATGCATTTCTTATTTCGTTTTTGGGTTTACAATATTCTTCAGGATGGAATCAAAGAGTTATATTGGATTTGACCTGAATTTGAAAAAAAAAATTTCAGACAATACGAGCTGCATTCACTAGCGATAGCTGCACGCCAATAGTTGGCAATCGGAGTGCAGAAGTTGAACGATTTAAAAACGGTATCGCGGATATTGTCCACGACGAGGAGGTGGCGCTTCTGATGGCCATCTGCATCGCACAGCCAAGTTGTCCTGATCTCGAGCAAGAATCTGCCGTTGAGGAGGTTTGTTCTATATTTTTGGTGATTAATAGTTTTTTGAGGAATTTTTAAGGATTGTTTTTAGAAATTAGAATGACTGATGAGACGACGTTGATTTTATGAATTTGGATTGTTTCAGGTGGCTACCGAGGTGATTCGATGTTTACAAACACAAATTGTGTTGAGGAACGAAAATAACCATCCAGCATTCAGTAGAGTCATCTTCAAAATGACCGATATAATGAAATGAAATGATCAGATCGATTAAACTGATCAAAATTGACTTTGATTTTACTTTAA